GAGGGATGAGCACGTACGGGGTTTCTCATGCATGCACGCACGCACGGGTTTACTCACCGCATTTCATACAGACGCTTGCTTTAACAACGTTATGGATTCATACTTGAAATCAGGTGACGAATCGGTGAAAGTCTAAAATCAAATTAATTTAAAATCATATTATCTAATCATCATCATATGATCTAATATCAATCTAAAATCAAAATCAAATCTAAATCAGGTGACTATCGCGAGTGGGCGAATACAGCGCAATGGTCGGGTGTAGACACGGAAATTAGATTGAGTTTCAGGTGCCACGTTTCCTGTCGCCATAGCAACAGTAGATGCTTCACTACCTTCAATTACATATCTGAGTTTATTTGACTAACGACTATAAAAGTGTGTTATATCTCATTTGGAATTTACTAGTGAATATATATACATACACATACATGCGCACACCAACAAACACGCATGCGCACACACATGTACACATGTACACATATTATATATACACACACGTACACACACGTATACAGGCACGCACACACGCACGCACACACGCACGCGCACAATTGGGAGCTCGTAGTACATAATACACATACATATATCTATGGCATATAATACACGAACACACGCGCACACTTGGGCGCACGTAATACAAATAAATATAGCTATGCTATATTTCTCGCAGCAGTCTAGCAGATACATTTACGTGTATATATTCGTCCAAACACTCGTTATTTTAACAGATACTGGGCATATGCAACCCAGTATATTACCGCTTGGTACATTAGCAATTATTCTAGAATTTTATCTATGCTGAATAGTCTAAAATCAGTGTTTGCGCATGCGCAGTAGCTGTCTGAATGATTTATATTGTGATTTTAAAATGTATTTAAAATGGAACCAGGCTACCCACGAGTAGATTTCCGCGATAAATATCCATCGACATGGCTCTGGTAAAAGATGATAGCCCTAGCCTGCAGGGTACCCCGGACAGAGCGTTTCTCGCAGCAGTTTCTCAGATACACGGGCACACGTAGTACATAATACACATACATATATCTGTGACATATATACATAGGTACATCTCATCGTGGGCAAATACGTGCGTACTGCACCTTCCCTCATGTCCGCAGCAAGAGCGTGATCCTCCCCCACCACGCGCTCACACAACTCCCTTCGCCGTTCACACAAGACACACGTTTAGACATACCCCTGCGCTTAGCCCCCTCCCCCGGTCAGTGGTCGTACATTGTCGTGACGTATGCCTGACGAACAAGTACGTAACACTGACCAAATATAGCTTATTTTTCAGAAACGCAAATTACATCGTAACTTAGTGTGTGCACATCGAATCTACAGTGTATGACGACACTGCGCAAACGCTCGGCTTAAACGAGCTTATTCTACATTGAAAATGTAACGATTTGGGATATGAACAGCGTTTAAGTCCACACGGAAGATCAGGCGGCGTACCAACAGCCGAGTGAGCTGTGAAACTTGAGCTACGCTATATCCCCATAATTATAGCCATCTCTTAATCAGCAACAAGATGGCTTAAAAAGACTCTCATACACCTGGGGCCCGTTGTCAGAAACATCGTAAAGTTAATGCTGAAGTTAATGCTACGATAACACTTACGACTAATGCTAATGTTGCGAGACTAGCGTTGACAGAAACACATCGCAGCTATTAGAAAACTTACGATGGCCGGAACCAAACTGCATGCAGCCCCAACCCCCCTTCGCACACTCCGCTTACCCACTTGCCCCAAAGGCTAGACTATTATTCAAGTGGCCGAGCTCCAGCGCGAAAACCAGCAAATGGCTCAAATCCAACGGCCCGCGAAGTCCCGTCGAACAGCAACATTATGAAATTTTCTATTAGTTGCAGTTTGTTGCTGCTCACAATTTACATGTTTTAACGCTTAATACCAAAAATGCAATCAAAGCCAAATGTTCGAGCAATTAGGTATTATTGGCAAGCATCCTAAAATTTTTATCATTAAATATTAAATTAATAACACGCCTGAACTCTTAGTTAGTAAAACAGCGTAATGATTCTTCGAAAGTAAGTAAATGGGCTGCCACTATGTCGATTTATCTATTTTATCAAATTCTCAAAAATAAATGTCGAATTTTTAATACTTTGCATCTTTTATTAGTCCAAATCTTATTACATAGCATACAAGCCTAACTGCCTGCTGTAAAACTTGTTAGTAAAAAAGCGTACAAAGTCTAAACCGAAAATCCACTTGTTGAACAGTGCGCTAATTGCAGCCTATTGAGCGAGAGCGCCAATCTGTCGCCTGGAGTTTGGCCGCGGAACTTCCTCCTGTTCGAAATCCGCAGTGCATTTCGGAACGCCAGACATTGTTTACATTTGCCAGCCGATCATGCAACTGTTCGCGCGCGACATAACGAACCTCATTCATCTCATAAAAACTCGAACATTCGTGCGTGATACGCTTTCAGTTAAAAAAACAATAATTGTATATATAAATAACATTGGCAATTGAATTGAGAGTGAAAGACCGTTGGCGTCGGCATAAGCTAACCGTATTGGATTAGTTACTAGTATTTTACTGCACTTTCTTAAATAATAATATGTTATTACTAGTATACTTAGTACGTATTTACGATTAGTCTAACTACTAGCACAATGCTGAATGTTACATAACATATCAGGAGCTACTATCAATTATTAGATAGACTCCTGAAACCCATATATTTTTTTTCTTTTGTAATAATGTTACGAGCATATCCATTTGATCAACTTTGCTACTCATACCATTTCCGTACATAGCATCCATATCAATTAATCAACGATTGTCACCCGATTTGCCTACACATAATCCGTGAGACTGTTGAGTGTGCCAACTTATAATCTGATACGTCGTACTCTTTTATGGCTCTCAAACAATATTATGTATTGAGGAACCTAACTGAATATACTATCCCTGATATATATCATTGAATTAGAGGCGAGCCGAACTGGCCGAACAGAGACATTGAGTTCGTCGCGAGGCCCTCCTGAGAGACAGGCATGGCTGCGTGCGTCGCCTGCACAAGTAATCCCTGACCGTCAACCAGAAAAAATGCACAACTGGCGAGAAAATCGCAACACTGTCAATGCGATTGCCATGATGGCACAGGCATTCCTGCCGGGCAAGTAAACAAATTCTATTGCCCTAATATATATATATATATAATATATAAACATCGCAAATCTGTATGCTGCCACATAGTTTGATATCAATTATAGATTAAATAAAATTTTATGCAAATACGTTGAAACCTTTACATAATACATTTTACAGTGCAACAATAAAGTGGACCAACTACACCTCGAGCTCAGGCAAAAAAACGCATAACGCAACAGCAGGCGCGACGCCTCAGGGCGCAGCAACATTTATGAAGCCCCCTCCCCCAACACACACGAGTAAAGCTAAAAGCCATCGAAACTACAACATGTTACTGATTTTTCGGGCATCTGCAAAGTCAAAGGTTTGCATGGAAAGGCGAGAAGACCTCCATTTTTAAAGGCGTCCGAGTATCAGCGAGATGCATTAGCAGACGGCGTGCAGACACGAACACTTATCGAAATCATGTACACTAGTAGGCAAGGTAACAAGGAGGGCGACAACCCTCCAAAGGAGTCCTCAGGTTTGCGTCTACGTAGAATAAATCCCCATGATTGTTGGTGAGAGCCAGATGACTACGAAGGAGTTAATGGAGGGTGAACCGAGCGTCTATTCGAATTGACAATGTGGACTGACTTCTGAGTACCATTTGCCGGAAAATTGAAGATATCGGTATGAGTTCCGTGTCTTCGCAAATGGGAGGTGTCGAAGGGTATTAAACCATAACCAACGATCCCGGTAAGGCTTGCGTATGGAGATGGGAGACGAAAAGGGGTAGCGNACATTACAAAAGAACGTGAGTATGCTGTACAACTAGTTAATTAACTAGTTAACAGTTTAATAAATTGTTATTAATGGTTATTAAGTTATTACATCTTTTTTTAAATTTAAAATTTTAATCTACATTATTTTTGTATTTATAGTCAGACATATGAATAACACACATGAAGAATAACAGGTGAGTGGCAACTACAGGTGAGTGAACGTAAATATGTATGTCACTTTAAATTGGGTCACTGTAAATGACATTAAAACGCATTTCGAATCAGATTATCTCTAACTATCCTTCCGTTTACGTCTAATTCCGGACAGCGTTCTACGTCATCGTTATGTACGTCATTTGGTAGCATTTCTACCATCACGTCGTGAAACGTTATGCACATGTTGTGCAAAACACAACATGCAACAATCGCCTTGCATGCCTTGCCTGCTTCAATGAAGAGGCCTCCTGAGAGGATACATATCAAGGCATCTGAATCGGCTCTTCAAGATGCCATTGACCTGTTCAATGCTTACCCTTGTCCCCTTGTGAGCAGCATTGTATCTGACCTGTAATAATCAGCAGTATATCTATATATATATAGATATTCATGCATACATATAATGTAGCAGTTTCAACTGTCACATTTTTCTTGAAACATAAATGTAATAGTATGGACTACTTCCTATGCGCATGCACACATTCTATAATCTAGTATTTATTGTTAGGTCCACGTGGATTGATATCGCTCGCTCTTGTTTGCCAGTTCGTGTGGGTTAAGAAGCAACATGTACCAGCTCCAACATTAAACTACCTTTTGAGTTACATATCACTCGTCACCATTACTTAACAATAAATACCGATGCTACTAATTTACCTCTTGGTCGTTGTGAGGTCGCAAGACAGGGGTCATGAGGTATGGCCTCAAGGCATACCTGTAAAAATAAATCCAAACTTGTGTGATAACCGGAATAAACTTTAATATCTTGCTCGCACACTGTAGTTACATCTTGCACAAAGACAAAGAACCTCGCACACGCGCATAGGCGCGTGTGCCTCCTTCCGCGACCACCACCAGACTCTCGCAGTTTAGCCATAACCCTGCATTCTGGTACAACACATTCACACTGATGTGTCAAACGGCTAGATACAAAAGATGCGTCGCGACACGCTCACTGCTAAAATAATAGTCTCTGGCCACATGAACAAACAGCTGTTACATACCCACTGTCTGCCAGAAGTAACCCCTTATTTTGCAGGTCTCCGTTCTCCATCCTCTGTTGGATATTAGAACAGTCGAAGACTGCCATGTCATGCGCAGAACCAGGGAATCGAGCCGATACTGCTGTAATCCTGTTCTTGTGGTCGTTGATCAGCATGACATTGATACTGTGGAACCTGCAACACATAATTATTCTTGTTGCTAACTTCTAACAGTTTTCTATTGTTGTGTTTAATATAATTTGTATTAACGTAACCTTAATTTTGCTCGTGATTGATTCATAATAAAATTATTGTGTCATATAAGCTCACCCTTTTCTGCATACAAATACATCTTCATTTCGTGGAGGCGTTCGAATTGCAACATGCGTTCCATCCACACACCCGATGACACCCGGAAACTGTCGCTTTTGGTAAAATCCAACCTTGATCTGATGAATTGAAATAACATTTGTAAAGCGATATTAAAATAATTATAAGTGTAAATAAACACAAAGTGACTCATACGTTAAATATGCAATATAAATTGGTTAAGTCATTTGTTTAACTGTATGAATTCGTGTAACTTCTTCTGTAAAATATAAATTTTATAAGTGACAAATGTATTAATTGTATGTACAGTAAGTACTAATTACCTCTGCCAATTGGTCTCGTGATGTTGGCAATGCGATCCATTCGCTAGCAACATTTACAAGGCAGTCTAGCACTGCGTCCAACACTCTGCAAACTGTCGCTTTTTGTACACCCATCGCTTCTCCAATGACATTGTAGAATGCCCCAGATGCCAAGAAGCGTAGGGTAATACAGACCTGAAACCACATCAATACAAGTGGTATATAAACAGTATGCACGTACTGTTTTCTGCAATACGAAAACAGTAAAGATAACGAATAAGACCGCGATGGGCTTATGATTAGTTCTTAAGTTACAGTATTTTATTGTTGTACGTGAACGTTGAGATATACAGTTGGCGAACGGACGTAAAGCAAATACAAGCAAACTTTTAGTTGCAATTTTTTAACATTGTGTTTGTAGGACTTTCTTCAGAATTATTCAAGTCAAAAGAAAGTTATGATATTCTGTAGTATGTAACTGCACAAGTGTCCCTAAAACTTTGCCACCTATCAGCCCTAGAGTCCCTATATACAGAGAGTAGCGCCAACTCAGGATTTGACTCCATGTTGTTTCCAAATGTATCAACACCGCTGCCGCTTAAGTACAGCGCTGTATGGATACGCTGTACAATGGTTCGTAGTAATTAATTAGACTAATCGTGCTTCAATAAACTCAAAAATTACAGAGATTATAGCTAAGTCATGTGTCTATGTGTAGCTAGATTTATAGAATTGTAACTCAAATCGTTCGCGCCATATGATGGTTTAATTGTACACTTTCTTACCGCTCAATAGCCGTGCGTATATTAGCCTGTGCGATACCGCGCGTAGACACTTGCTAATTAATTAAACCACTCGCGCTTCAATAAACTCAAAAATTACAGAGATTATAGATAACACATGTGTTTATATGTATCTAGATTTCTAGAAAAGTAACTCAAATCGTTCGCGCCATATGATAGCTTAATTGTACACTTTCTTAGTGTAAACACAGCAGCTAGTCACTGTAATTCACAAGATAAATGCGTTCCACTCTCCACTCGCTCGTAGCTGTAATATCGTAGCAGTTCTATAAATCTAGCTACACATAGACACATGTCTTAGCTATAATCTCTGTAAATCTTGAGTTTATTGAAGCACGATTAGTCTAATTAATTACTATGGACCATTGTACAGCGTATCCATACAGCGCTGTACTTAAGCGGCAGCGGTGTTGATCCATTTGGAAACAACATGCCGGCAGCGATCACGTGACCGATTTTTTCCGACTCGTCATGGCGCTACTCTCTGTATATAGGGACTCTAATCAGCCCTATAGTATATACAGTAAAACTCGCATGTTATAAAGTCGACACTTTTCGGACCAGGGGCCCGTTTCATGAAGCTATCGTAAAAACACCATCTTAAGGATATCCTTAGAATTCTTGTACGAGAGCCTAACGCTGTCCTAAAGGTCCCTCGTTAAAGTGTTTCACGAAACTTATGCCGGCCGCGTTGTTAAGACGGTCCTTAAAATTCAGCTGTAACAATGTTGCTGGCGGCATAGACTGGTACCCTATCTACACCTTGCTACTAGATAGTCTATATATAGAGACATGTTACAAGTCTAATGGCGACCAAGCTCACTGTAAGTTGCTACGCCAATCTCTCGCGTCATTTAGTTTTAATAAATGTAGGTACAACCGCGTGCAAACTAAAATGTCAAATCAGGGAGTATGACAGTAAATTGCGACAGCCAGCTCGCACATCCTCTAGACCGTACACTGTGCCAACGGCATTTCTGAGAACGACTTACAAATGGGAAATTACTATTGTTTGTATTACATGGGACCTGTCCGAGGGCGACGACTTGCACACAATGACGGCTCATAAATGATCTTGATCTTGATTATATACTGCGTCGACCGCGTATTATGACGCAGGTGGTGGGGCATGGTAAAGTTAGGCACTCCCGGCTGCGCCCTCTACACAGATGGCGTCGATTGCGCTCTGTGTGCAGGCATTCCAATCCACGATGGTCCGTGGAAAGAATGAGTTTTTGAATTCCTCTGTTGAGGACTGCCAGTTTGTTGTCGTTTTTTTTCCTAGTGCACGATGGACCCATTCTGATATACTGGACTTTGGGGATCGCGGTACTTCCAGAGAGAATTTTGTTGAGAAGCTTGAGTCGCCTCTCTTTACGATGTAGTTGCAGGTTCGGCCAATTAAGTGATTGTAACATTGCAGTTACGCTATTGGTTCTGCCATAACTGTTGCAGACGAATATCCCCCCAATGCGCGGGATTGGATCAGTTCAATTTTTTCTATGTCTTCTAAAGTGTGGGTCCCAGACTGTACAGCCATACTCTAGCTTAGACCGAATTAGCCAGCCCAGGCTCTCTGATTGTTACATGTCGTAGGAACTTCTCGCCAACGTAGTGTTAAGCGAGAAGGGAACTTGTGGCCAAGACCGAATGAGAGATTGCATGACGGCATGATGACTTAGACGGGGCTATTCAGTATTCCAATGGATTTACTATGAGAGAAAATCGGGCTGCTTCACTTCCATGCGCGACTATATAGACAAATTGATGAGTCTAGAATATGACCAACAACGACTATGCGACTGTCATTTACGCCTGCCGCATATATAGTCCATAGCTGCATAATGCTCCACTGTCCAATGAGGCTAAGCCTGATTTTTAATTACGTAGTATATTGTACAGTAGAGCTGACAGTACTTGACTACATATACTCAAGTATAGTACTACAAATTCACTTCAGAACTATAATGGGCACTTGTAGGCAAAGACTTTCCGATGTATATTGGTATTTACAACAACCATCTCCCGCAGCAATTAAGTATCGCTAGATGCGTTAATGGAAAAGACGGACAAGAAACTAAGATAACTTATATTAGACTAAACAAGACGTAAATAATAGGAAACACATAAGCAATTGGAATCGCAATCAGAGAGCTGGAAGCTATGGCATTCGATGAGTAATATTTACGTTGTACAGAAAATTGTCTGCGCGCCGGAAATATTCGTGTGCTGCGTCGAAAATCCTGCTACAATGACATGAGCCCTAACATTCTTAGATCAATGTTGAAATGTGATAATATAAAAACAACGAACTTACCTGCAAAATTTGGGGCCAATGGCAGTGTTAGGCCCCAGTTTGTTGTTGTAGATCTCGGGAAAAATTATCGGTTAACACGGAGACGACGGTATACGACTTAGATAAACAATGCGAAAACGTTCGCGGACACCCTAGTCGCCCCTCTGTTGTAGATCCGCCGATGTACTGCGCAGTTATCTTTTCTTATTAAATTAGAGCTGTCCTGGTGTAAAATAACGTTTACTTGTGTCCTTCTGCCCGCGTCTACTATCATCGCCTTTGTCTTCTCGTGTCAAACTTACAGGGAATTAGCTGAAGTTAGGAGGGGTCTTGCACCGCGAAGTCTTTCGTTAAAATGTTTATGGAGGATATTTGCGTAGGAGGATTTTTCGTTCTCGCAACATTACGGATCAGCCCGGGTGGAGTTAATCGGGTAAGCACTTAATGCTGTTCTGCCGGACTTAATTGCTGTTCTCTGACCAACCCGGCCCTCACCTCGCCGATATGGCCGCATAGCCGCTAGGCATGTGTGGTGGGGGGAGACTCCACTGGACGTAGCGGCAGCCCATCGCGCCCCAGAACAACGCGATGGGTGTTTTTAGACACGCCGCATGCGTGTATAACGCTTGCCTGATGTAACCACGTACATTTGACGTCCTAGCTAGGCTTATGTAATATGATATGTCTGTTCTTCGTGTGACATCAGTTGTTGTCCCTGGCGAGGGTTATTGCATAGATATAATAACACCACGTAGTATTGTATATTCTATGGTGTATTGTATGTTTTTTTCTGGGATAGCGCACCTTAGCGGAGTGCAGTGACCTGGAATTCGTGCCGTCATTGTTTCTCCAAGGGAGATTTTACAATGGCATTGTTGCTAAATATGGTTTTTTTTAAACATTTAAAACGCCAGAATTCATAAACAGATTTAAAGCAAATATTTGTGTAAATAGAATCGCGACCGGCAGCATCATCACACGTTATAGGCTCTCGCTATTAAGTTAGCCGACTGTCATTCGTGGACACGCGCGCCCAAGCCTTCATAAGATTTTGCAGAGAAGACGCCTAACAGAGGACACTACTAATTTTTATATAGATTGTTGTTTTGATATGTATGTTATTGTTCTATCATTTTTTCTATTTTCGGTTGGCGCCATACATTATTATAAAGAAGCAAAGAATATATACCAGGAAACTAATGGCTGCTTTTACTTTAGATTTCGAACTCGTGTACGCATGTTTACAAAGTACACACTGCGTGCTAGAGGGGGGGGTGGGACAGGGGCCATGGCCCCCCCCTCCTGTTGCATTGGCAAGTGGAATAAAAAAATTTCCCCTTGCCTCTCTACGCGTTCTTCACGGGCTAGCACAAATCCTGTTACTTTCTGCATCTGTGAACGAACATCTCAATGAGCTGTCAAGTTCTAAACTGCCCTACAATGATCCCAGCCACGAATTCTCTGTCGCATTCTCCTTTTCGTTGAACAGGGTTAGTGATGACAATAAGTCAAGGAATCGTTCAAAATGCGCTGTGCATAAATCGACGGAGAAGGACTTGGACTTTGGAATTTGAGGATTCTGAGACAGACATAAACATGAACTAAAGAAAGGAGGAATAATTTTCTTTCCTCAGATTCTGTGTTGTGCAAGTTGGCTTGATTGATTTTAGTAGTTCTGAACTCTTTATTGACGAAGAAAAGAGAATGGAATGCTTGGGTGAATAGATGATATTTCGAAGCTTGATAAGCGCGCCTTTTTGGACATTCCACTCGGTTTTTATTTCAATCGATCACACTTATGTTTTAAAGCCGGCACAATTGCGGATCCAACGCTTAATTTCTCCAGTTACTGGAGGCTCGCAATATTCGTGTCATGCATTTTAATCCTGACCTTTTGGCAACTAATTAGTTCCTTTCCATTTCATGCGCGGGTGTCTTATATAAAGGTTTTTGAAAGGATACTTCATGTTTGACGATTGCTATCTTCAAGGCACGGCGCGGTGCCGCGGTTAGCAGCAGGAACGGCGCAGCAAGATAAAAATGTAGTCGCGTCCACCACTTCGTGTTATCGCTTGTTGAAACAAGTTAGCGTTGGGCGCTAGATTACTTCTGATTCGGCACCTCTGTTCTTGTTGGGACGCGCAGCATCAAATGGAGGAACTAGAGTTTATCTTTGTCTATATGGTAGGTGATTATGATGGACACGAAGTATTTGCTAGTTCTAGTACTGGAAGATTAGCGTTTGGATGCGATTGGTGCGAGCTGTTAGGTAACTGTTCTTTTATCAGAGCAGGCATGAACACTTTCTTTGCATCCCCCCCCCGCCCACCGGTAATTTCGTTTCTATTTAATTAGAGCGGCTTTTTGGCAGACCCTTTGTTTTTAATTTTGAAATTCAAAGTTCAATAGGAGATTTTTAGTCTTATTCTAGAGGAAGCAAAAACATTTATTTATACAACAAAATATGAATGTGACTTTTTTAGCGCTTTATTTCTAACGATGTAAATCTTTTGTAATTTAAAATAAATTGCGTGATTTATTTCTGTTGCAGTCCAAATATACTGTTTTTCGTGGATCTTTTTAGATTTCGATTGCAATATGCTCTACTTTTCAAAATAATTAACTTTAACTCTTTATGTATGAGAACTCTAAACAGGTTTATGACGGATAAATGAACATGGCAATTGTATGACTATAACAACACAAGAGGACATAGGCGTAGCTAAGGGGGGGCACAAGGAGGCCATGACCCCCTCTTGATCGGAGAGTACACAAATTAAGAGAGAGGGGCCCTGAATGGGATTGGTCTATATCACTATTACCTACACCTAATAATGAAAATGAAATGCGTAAAAATGCCATTTTGATGCACATATTTTCAAAAATTGCCCTCTCCCGTTGAGAAATAGCTTCATCACTGTCTTTGGTCGCTTAACTCTTTTCTTCCTTCCCTGAAAAACACTGGTTTCGTACACCATTTTCACTGGTCTTGCTTAGGGTCCACCAACTGGTCGTGTGTAACCTCAGAGCCTTCCGGCGCCACAGCCAGGGGCCATCGTCCCACGTTGATCGGATTGGAGTGGAAAAAATAAAAAGCGAGGGAGGGGGGTTATAAGGGATTAGCATATGCCACTTCTCATATAAGTTACCCCTAATACTGAATTTTAGTGTGCAGAAAATGCCATTTTCATACACGAATTTTCAAAAATTTTCCTACCGTGGGAGGGGGATACCCCTCCCACACCCCACACCCCTCGGTCGCTTCGCTCTCTCACCTTGGCCCCCCCCCCCTGTTTCAAATTGCTGGCTACGCTACTGAAAGTACAGGTGGTCGCATCTGGTGTCAAGAGAGCATTCCTCCGCCTCCTCATTCAACACCTACGTTCGGACGAGGAGTCGCGGCTCTTCTCGGGGAATCTCTATCGGGAATTCCCAGTTATTCCCTGCTCGCGGCTTATATAGACGCAGACATGCCCGCAGCTCATGCTCATGCACGCGCCAATCGCAGCATCGCAGGCACTCGCGCATGCTGGGTCTTGCCACTATCGCCCCTGGATGGTGGCAGCACCTAACGGCAAAGACTCGCTATTCTGTACCACCACCCTCCAGGAGGTGGCGACCCCTAACGGCGCGGATGCGCCACGAGCACTTAAGATGGCTGCCGGCGTTTGGCGATGATTGGCATTATTGTCATTATTGTCTTAATATGGTCAATGCTATAGCGCCATGCCAAATATATTGCAGTCGCCGCACGTCCGCACCGGATAATTAGCCCTTGGTTAATCCTTTAATCTCCCAGCGCCGGCGTGGGCAGCAGCGTCGCAGCCCGGCTTGTACGGAGCTATTGATCGCCTCTGGTTGCCAGGGGCAACGCAGTTCAATCAATACCTCCGCGTCTGTTACCTATTTATATTTATCATTACCTCCGCCCGATGATATGGCAGCGACGCGGGCCGCGTCGCGTGTGTGTGGGGGGGAAGTGGCTTGTAACAGCAGCGTCCTTAACTTGTATAAGACCACGCAATAAGGTGGTGCGCGAGCAAGGCTGTAAAGACTGAAGCTACGCTATATCCCTGCATTATAGCCATCGCTAAATCAGAACATAAGATGGCTTTAGAAACTACTTTCGTACTCCATGGACCTTAATTACTTACGCAGTTGTAAAATATATGGTTTGTAGGTGTCACAGTCATTATTTAATATATACATGGAATGAGATACATTAAAAATGGTTGTAGGGTGCTGTGAGGAGGGCTCTGAGTTCAGCAGTCAGAGAATGGCGGATTGCTTTGGTGGTGGCGAAGAAGAACATTATGTATATACAGTGATTTGGTTGTTAGTGTTTGTTTACAGAGGCTGGCTTAGTCATAGCTTTGGTAGAAATAAAGCGTCAACATGCAGCTAACACAGTACGGGATGATCACTTAAGCACCAAACCACGCGCAGACCATGACGGATAGTTTTACACGCAGATGTGTTTGTGGGCGCAGGTGTACAGTTGGCTTTTGTAATTGATTTATGGGGAAGCACCACACTTGATGTCCTGGTACTAGGAAGATCCACGACCGGCTACGCCGTGTGTCATGATATCTGAGGCGGTTTGTTCATGATACAGCAGGTATATAATTCACACGCAGTTGACGCTTGTAAATCAGTCTAATAGCGAGAAGCACACAGCACGGATTGTTCAGTGACTTAGTTTGGGTAAACGGCAGTTTTCTTATATTAATTCAGTATATTTAGGTCTTCGTGATTATATTATGTGCTTGACGCTTACAGTCGTTTAATGGTGTCGTGTGTTTGGATTGATCTACATAATTTGATATTCAGAATGAACAGTTTCTATTGCAAACATAACAGGTCGGCGTTTTTTGTTCTACATCAATACGGTGTTTAATGGCGTTTTATTTGTATCTTTTCAAACTAATATTGTAGAGAGGGCCTATATAGGGAATTCCAGCAAGTGTGACGAGGCAGTCTACGAAGGCCAAAACACGTGGTCGTACCTTAAACGCACAGACAGGGGTAGACACCTGACGTGTGTGACCAGTCGTGGCATGCTTTCCCGTGAGCACGAGATGGAGTAGCGTGAGAATTATTCCGGGGAAAATCTATATGAGTGCAAACTGATGTGGATGCTGCTTCTCCTGTTGGTAGAGTGAAGTTTACACATGAGAAGTCACAGCGGAAGAGAAACGTATAAGCTGGCGATGCTGTGTGAGCTTAACTTCTCGACAATGCGGTCATGGTGAAGTCACACATGAGAATCACACGGGAGAGAACACCGTTAAAGTGGCGATTCTGTGTGATGGCTGGGCCGTTTCAGAATTGGGTCCATGTGAAGATACACATGAGAACCGCACAGCTCAAGAGAAACCGTACAAGTGCGATCTTGTGGTGAGCTTCATTCTCCACAATGCGGGTCATGTGAAGTCCACACCTGAGAACTCAACACTTCAAGCGAAAACCGTACAAGTGCGATCTGTGTGATGCTGCCTTCTCTCTTCTGGTAAGTGTGAAGAACACATCGAGAAGTCAACCCACGAGAAACCGTACAAGTGCGATCTGTGATGATGCTAGCCTTTAACAAATCGGGTAATCTGAAGACACACATGAGAACTCATACGGAGGAGAAACCGTATAAGTGGGCGATCTGTGTGATGGCGTCTTGCTCACATTCGAGTAATCTGAAAAAAAACACACTGAAACTGTCACACGGGGGAGACAACCGTACAAGTGCGATCTGTGTGATGCTGCTTTGCGTCCGCGATCGGAATAATTCTGAAACACACATGAGAACTCACACGGGAGAGAATAACGACGAAGAAACAGACGAATAATAAAAAATCATTTAATGTAACATGTGAAGTGAAGAGTTAGCTGCTAAAACACCCTATAATCACACATGGCATGCATAATACTCTAGGGCAAAATGTCGTAACAGATGTAAGCGCAAGTTGATCTCGAAGGCTGTCAGAGCTTAGCATGTAAGATCAGCTTGGCTCTGTGAGCAAGCGAGCACACTGCAGCGGCGTGTGAACTGGAGCAGTGGCGGATACCTAACGATGCAACTCATTGTTACGGTGTCCTTTCCAAAGTGAAGCTGGACTAGGAATTAATTGGTGAAAGTTCTTCAAACGTTTAGGGTATAAGCACCGGGACTGTTGTTATGTTTGTGATTTTTTGGTGTTTTTGAATATATTAAATGTGGCGCATGAAAATCTTTGTAACGCTTTTGCTAAATACTTGCTGGCGTTTGAACACTGATCTAATAAAACGCATTGCTGTATTATGATCAATAATATCAATGTCTATACCGTCAATAATAAACAAATTACGGCGAAGAGAGTATACGTTGCATTATGTTTGTGGGGGGGTGGTGTATTTGTGTTTGTGCGTGGCGTGTGTTGTGAGAAAGCAGCAATGATAAGCCATAAAGAAAGGCAGTTACATGGCGAAGCAAGTTTCGTGTATGCAAAATGGGAAATTAGCCATTCTAAGAGAGAGAGAGAGAGAGAGAGAGAGAGAGACAGAGAAAGAGAGAGAGAGACAGAGACAGAGCAGAGAGAGAGAGAGAGAGAGAGAGAGGGAGAGAGAGAGCAGAGGCAGAGAGAGAGAGAGAGAGAGAGAGAGCGAGCCACATAGTATAAGCCTATAATACTGAGGCCTGCATAGATAAATACTTTGTATATACGGGTAAAAACAACAGGTAATGTCGCTAGTCTAAACCAAGTCTAACGTGGCAAAAGCATCTTGAGCTCGGCCGTATAGAACTTCTAACGAGTCGATTAGATAGCGATTTAGTTTTGTTTTCTAATGCAAATGTGTGTGTTTGAACTTTGCGATTCCATACAGTCAAAACATATCCATATTTACCAATTCTGCTGTGTTGGTAGGTGTTGTATCGCTTGGGCGGAGCGTAATGCTTACCGTTACAGATAGTCATTATACAGATACTTTACTAGTGTTATGGGCGAGTTGGGCGGTAATCTCAGCCGCATTATCACTCAAAGGACAATTAATGAAATTCATATGAATTTTTGAATCAATATCCTGAATCATACTGAATTATTATCATTTGCAATTTGAATTTGAACATGAGAGAAATGCTCATGGGCGAGCAGTCTCCCGCAGCCGACCCTTCGTCACCGCCCGATGCCACGGATAACGACCAAGCATCGTCATACACGGAGGCAGTGAACTGAAACGCCCGGCGTACGTCCATCGCGGCCCGGTACTTCTTCGCGAGGCAGGCCGCCGCGGGATCTTGTGTGCAGAGGAGCCCCAGAAGAAACGAGGACAGGATGAGTCCTGCGCTCCGCCTTGTCCCAGAGTGCTCGCCGTCCTGGCATCCCGTCGTCCTAAAAATCCGCACCGACGCCACCACGCGACAGGTTGGTATTAAGAGAGAGAGAGAGAAGAGAGAGAGAGAGACGAGGGGGACGAAGATAGAGCGAGAGGAGAGAGAGACAGACAGCAGAGAGAGAGACAGAACAGAGAAGGGGGAAGAAAGAGAGAGAGAGAGTGAGAAGAAAAGAGATAGACAGAGAGAGAGAGAGGAAGAGAGAGAGAGCGAAGTGAAAGAGAATGACAGCGAGAAAGAGAGAGAGAGAGAGAGAAATGACAGAGAGGAATAGAGAGAGAGAGAGAGAGAGAGAGAGAGAGAGAGCAGAGAGATGAGAAGAGAGAGAGAGAGAGAGAGAGAGAGAGAGAGAGAGAGAGAATAACAGAGAGAAAGAGAGAGGAGAGAGAGATCGACAATTGACAGCAAAAAAGCGTGCCTCACAACGCATTCATAGAGGACTTTATGTAATCAAGAGCTAAACTAATACATGCATAATTATTACATTCACTGTCTTATTCTAAACGCGGGTGCCCGGGATCGCGCGACGTCGCGCGCCATATTTACATCTTGTCGCGTCGCGTGACGTTGTGGTCCGCATCGCCTACCGGTCGGCGGCGCTTGACGTTCAGAGCGGTTGAGGTCGCCGACGGCCGTTGTGTTAACCAATACAGACGATCAGCAACGCCTCCATGTTCGTATGCGCTGCGAACGACATCAAGACGAACATTGAAAACGACAGGCAGCAGCCAACCTGTAGCCGACACTACTCCCAATACGGACCGGCGACGCAGATAGCATGGATGGAGTGTAAGATAGAATAACCGATAGAAGCACACATACACACCACTACACA